ATTTTATGTTTATATTTTACGGTTACAAAGCAATGTGTATTATTCGCTGCTGATGCTCCTAACAATTCATTTCATATGGAACCAACTGCTTTGTACGAGAGTAAGAAAAATCGATACCCGGAATTATTTTAGAAGACATCATCATTCTTATAACCATAATCAATTTTCTAGTCGCGAGATAAATGTTAAAGAATTTTTGGTGCGACCACTATTACCACGTCACGGATTAAAATAGATGAGATGGCTTGCGCGTACATAGCGACATACGAACATATCCCTATTCATACTACAGCTCTGTCACCATAGTCCAAACTAATCGTATATTGTACACTAACATCCACAGGGGCAAGTCTTTACTGCGGCCAGATTTAGAGGTTTATACATGCATGTTGCCTAAGAACTTTCGAAGACAATACTGCTGCCTAAGATATATTTGTGTCACTAAGTTTATTATTTCTTCTTTTCCAGCGTAAAAAATAGCTTGGCCAGATCTCGGCGGCAGGCCTCCGAAGGGCAAGCTGGAATTCGTGTTTGTGAAAAAAGCAAAGCGAATCGCATGGATCCGGAGAGGAGCCTGCAGTTAAATCTCAATTATGACGCCTTTTTCACAACAAGAATGTTGTTCGAAAAGCTTGAAGCTCCCTCCCCCTTCACCCCCCTCCCCCCCTATTTCTTGGAACGGATGTTCATGTAGCGGCCTGAATATTTCCCTCTTATTCAATAGTAATTCGGAGTAATTCCAAGCACACTCAAAGACCGTTCAATAACCTGCTCCAGCAGAGGTTCAATGTTCGTTTCAATGCGGGCATTTGCGCGGGAAATTTGAAAGAGCTTCAAGTTCAAATAAACACGCTTTTCTAAGCGGATAGGCCATAAAAAAGATGCGCAAAAAAGAGTAGAAGAAATGTTTGAAAAATCTTTGAAATATTATGAGAATGAAAGAATCGCCGTACCTTTCTTTGATTTAGGTCTCCGGCGGAGACCTACGGGAGACCTCAGGTCTCCGATTAGCAAACACTTTTTTGTTTCTCACAAGTTTGCGTTCCTCATAGCAAACGCTATTTGTGCACCCCTTACAACGCCATAACCAGATCACAGTACTTTCTTCCCTCCTTGCTAGGGCCCTAAATTGTTTTCTCTAACGAAGAAAACGCCCTCCAAGTACACGGCACACAGTGCTTGTCCTGATCGCACACGTTTGTACAGGTTACAGAGAGAACTTTGCAAACTTCTGGATTTTCAAACGGATATTCGTTCTCGCAAGGTTCAGTCGGTGACTTCGTGCCGAGGCCTGAGCTTGGCTGAGAAATTTGGATAATATAAAGTGACAAATATGACTTTTTTGAGCGCACCTTATGTAACAATATGACTGTCTTCATACCAGTTCGTTTCCCTACTCGGTTAAATTTAGCATTGTCGACGCTT